AGGGACATGATCTACTGCTTATGTGCCACACATTGACTGGGGCCTTGGGGCCTTATTAGAATGGCAGGGGGCTGGCTGGAGGAAGTAAGGTGAAGTGTATTGATAGTTAAAAACAAAACCTTAGGCCAGTTCTGATGGTGCTTTGTATCATTATGTACTGCTTACTTTTTAAATTGTGAAAACACAGCCAATATGTGTATTCTATATAGGAGTATCTTCCAGTTGACAAGAGTTATTTCATGTTGGAACAGTATGTTCAGTTAGCTACTCAGGATTTGGCAACACTGTATGTATAGTGGTTACTTAACAAGGCTAGTCTTCCAAGGCTTAGATTATTCAGAATGCACCAGAGGAAGATTGTTGTTAGCAGTCTGTAAAACATAGTCATGAAGTATATCTGTGTGTCCGCGTGGAAATGTAATCACAGTCCCAGTGGCAGGCAGAGGAGCTGTTTGAGGCTCCAGAAATACCACTTCCTTGCTGCAGCGGTAAGGTTCTCCCTTTCATCATACCTGTGGGCAAGGCTGTGCATTGCAGCATAAGTCATTGTAATTAAAGACTACAAGACTGCTTAAATAAAGATAGAACATCCATATATACTGTAGTATACAGAACAGAATGCTATACGATAGAATGAGGTAGATCTTGGGTACTAGTATAACATCTCCAGGATAATTAAGTGGGGGAAAAAAACACAATATAGAGCAATAGGCCACTACTATTCATATAAATGAGAGGTCTGCATATTTACATGTGCTTATACATACATTGTCTGTCTCTGAAAGAATACATAATCTGGTGGCCTCTGGAGAGGAGAACCGAGATACTAGGGAATCAAGGGTAGGAAGGGAACTTGTTTTGCAGTGTGTTCTCATTGGCACTGTTTGCATTTTTTTCTGGTATACATCCATATTAATATTACCTTTTAAAAAAGCATACATTTCCTTAGCATCTTATACTGCACTCAAAAGTAGGGTAGCAGTGCCTTTTGAGGTAGCATTGCTTTGAAATTTGCACAATTTCCCTTACACTTCTCTTCCCGCATTCCTTTCTTTTGCAAACATAGTGAATATGTATTTGGTTTACACCTTGGAGTACTAGAAAGAACACCAGCTTTGCAGTCAGATCAGACCTATGCCTACAGCTTATTGGCTGGTATTATTTGGTGTAAGTTATTTAACCTTTCAAAATCCTAGTTTTCTCCTGTAGGCTGTGGGAACATATAGCTCAGATCTGTTCTGAGAATTAAATAAGAAAATGTACTTAATGTGCTAGCATAGTGACGGGCACGTATATAAATGATAGTATATATATAAATGATAATTATTTGTGTTTTAATTGGATAACTAAAGGCCTTTTTCAAATGTTAAAA